CTTTTTTCCCCTTGCAAAAAAAATGAGAAGAAAAAGAGGATGAGGGAGAAAGTTAGGAAAAAGGAGAAAAGGAGAAATTTAACAGAGGAAAGGGAAGAAAAAAGAAGAGAAGAAAAGCAGGAAGGATAGAAATATCTAAAGTTCAGAATTTAGTTAGATTTATCTCAAAATCTTTATTAAAAAATAACTTTCTACAAGTCAGTATAGCTCATCCAAAATAGCAGTGTCTTCGACTTGTCTTTCTTAGTTGAAGCAGTCAGGCCAACAGTTACCAGTGCTCCATCTTACCTTTCCATCTCTCTTTTGCATAAGTCTAGAAGGAAATAAGTCAACAACACGGTTTTATCTCCCAACACCAGGTGTACTAGCCATGAAAGAGAGACCAGTAAAAATCTAGTTCTACTTTGATGACAATGGTTGAGAAAATGCAATAAAAATTCAGAACTTGAGACATAAAAGGGTGGGTATTCTTGGAATTAACTTCATCCTGTTATTTGGCCCAAGAACTTATTCCTTCAGCTCTCCATGGGATGGAAAAATTGGCAATGCTCACATACAAATCATGGTTAGGAGAAGCATGATCATCACCTCCTCTGTAAGGCACTTCTTTCTGGAAGGGAAATAAACCCTGTTTAAAGTTGAGAACCAGGAAATGAGGCTTTGGCAACAGCGGCCATTTTTATCTTTTTGTTTTTCTTTTTTCTTTGTTTTTAGCCATTGACCCAATAAATATTTTTGTTTTGTTTTTCTAAGTGCCTGATGTTAAAGAAGTTTTGATTTAGAAGAACCGTGAGGATAGACTTGGGAGAACCTAACAAGCTATAAATGATTGACACTGTCTGACAAACCATATCACCACAATGCCATTGGATGGTGATAGGAGGTAACAGACCTTTGATGACTAGTGCATTGAGAGAATGAATTAATAAGTAAACCAGAGGTGTTCATGACTGGGACATTGCAGTCACCATCTGTCTCACAACATCTGTGTCAGTAAAAAAGCCAGGCCACAGTTTTATTTTCTTACCACCTCATCAGACATTAGCCCACAAAAAAATGTTTTTTCTCATTTTATAGGTAGAGAAACTAAAGCATAAAGAGAGAAAATAGTTTCCTCTAGGTCGTGACAAAGATAATGCAGTCATGATGAGAAACCAAGTATTCTGTCTCCCAAACTTCTGTCTCACAGGAATTTTTGATGAGTTAGCACCTCTAATCATATCACTGGTTTTAACATCAGGTTAAACATTAGGCAGGTTTGACATTAGATGAATTCTAAATATTATTTTTCTTCACTATTTTTGTATTATGGGAAAATATGCATCACATAAAATTCACCATTTTAACCATTTTTAAGTGTACAGTTCAGTGGTATTAAGTACATTCATATTGTTGTGCAACCATCACCACCATCTATTGCCAAAACTTTTTCCCTCTTCTTCAACTGAAACTGTGCTCATTAAACAGTAACTTCCCATTCTCTCCTCCCTCTAACTCCTGGCAATGACTTCTGAATGTTATTTTACAGTAAAAAAAAAAAAAAAAAATGTTGACTTTGCACTTGATTTACAACCAAAAGTGTAATTAGATGCCAGAGAGAGGGCTGGGGAATAGACATAAATTCTGAACTGACTGTACCTACATAGAAGACTCCATGTAAGTGTGTTCTGTGTATGTGTGTATGTGTGTGTGCATGTGTCTTTAAAAGGTTTTCCTCCTCCCAGTCCGCCCCCTCACAGTTTGCCACTGGGTTTTGCAGTCTCCTGATTTCCTCAGTCCATAAGTGAGCCAGCATGGGCAATCTTCTTTGTAGTCTCAGGATCTAGTTTGCTGCCGTGGAAGCCACATTCTAAATTGAGGAGTGGAAAGGTAACAGTTTGTTTTTAGTTTCAAAGATCTCCCCAAAAGATAGATTGTTGCTCTTCTTCTGGAAAATCTTGATTGGTAGGATTCCTCCAAGAGCTCAGCCTAAAGTGCTTATCCTATCCCCTCACCAACTTCAAAACTGAAGCGTGCCAAGAACTTCTGGAGGAAAATCTGCTGGGTTCCATCATTTCACACAAATGGCTAATTCTGGAGGTGGTGCTGTTTGTAATGGGAATCTTCACAATCACAAAAAACAGAGTGACGGCTTGCCAAGTGAGAACTGCACAAAGAATGGGATATTGAAAGAAGCCCAGGTAAGAAGCAATCCCTTCCTGACTCTGACCAGAACATTTCAAATTTCTTTGTAAAACTGTTTGAAGCTGTCTTCACCAAAAGTTCTTTTTTATGAAGTGTTATGTGTTATGACTCTTCACTTCAGCTAATTTCAAATGCTTGGCTACCAAACAGTTTAGATGTGGGTTAAGGAGAAAATTTCTTCTCTGTGCAAGAGAGGGCACACACAGTCCCAAGACCTTTAAACAGAAAATACAAACATACACACTAGACTTTTGTTTTCTCTCAAAGCATTTCTGGGGCAGACTCGTGAAGGCTCAAACTTTTCAGCTAAATTTCAGTCCGTCAAGAAATCATAACAGGCTGCATTCATCATGCTTTATAAAAAAAAAAAGGAAGTGAAAGTAAACCGAAAGTCGCTGAGATTATGTGGTATGGATGGCATTTTCCCCAGTATATGAGAAATGCTTCTCTGGATAATAGGTGGATTATTTTTGGTGTTTAGTGGAGCATTATCATAGCTTACAGCTTGATTTTGGGCCAGAGTCTTTCTTTGAAACTTGACATCACAGCATTCCTTTGGAAGACAGTTCAGAAAATGTGGCTTATTGTTACACCCTGCCCACATGAACCATACAGCCTTTGTTTTCCCATTTGATACTTTTTTTTTTTTTTTGCTTCTGTTGTGGCAGAATGTTTGATGGTGATATACTGAGGAGGAGGAGGAGGAGCAAACCAAGAAAAGTTATCAGCTTATTCAAAGAGGGAGCTGGGCTCTGTAAGATACGTGGAAAAAGGCAGTTTCCCACTTCCCACATAATGCCTTGGCACTCTGCTCTAAGTAGCAGAGATGAGCTCACCTGCTTCCAAAGTACATTAGCATAGCCAAACAGGTAGCTTCACTGTTGGGAAATGAGAAGCTGGGCAGGGAACCTATACAGTCCTCCATCTTTCATCCATTCCCAGAGAACCAGCATCCACCCAGGGGACAGGTCTGATTGTTCTAAGATCACAGAACATGTTGGGCTGGCTGGGGGCCAATTCGCCACTCAGTACATTAAATTTGTGCATCCAGTTGTAAGAGGTAGAGGGGCGGGGTATGGGGAAGTACTCTGGAGCCTAGGTTGTGTATGGATAGGTTATGGTCTCCTCTTAACATAGGCATTACCCTAGCCTTAGAAGTGTCTACCTGAAATCTCAGGCCTAGCTTCTCCCAGCTCAGTATCTGAAACTTAGTGCAGTATAAAGAGAAAACACTCAACTCCTGCCAGTTGCTGGAGAGCAATCATGATAATATGCAACATCTATTTCCATTGTGTCAATTCAGACTGCTATCACCGAAGATGCTCCTTGTCCTTGAAATGCCTGTAAGACTAACCATTCACCTACTCACCCTCTGGATCATTCTGACCCTGATGACTCTCATTTGGATAGAGAGGTCATCAAAGCCATTCTTCTTATTTTATCTTGGTTTTATAAGCATCTTCTAGTGTCTAAGGTTAAAAATTTAGCTACATGGTTACAATCATTTCTAAGTAAGAACAAAAGCCAGGATCCTAAAGATTTATTACTAAGTGCTCTCACAAGACTGTAAGTAACCTTGGACATTGAGGCTTCCCTGAGAGTAGCAAGAAATATCGGGGCTCTTGTTACCTTTTCTGACAGCTCTTTTTGAAAGGCCATCCAGAACTTGTTGGCTCAGATATATTTAAGTGTTACTAAGTTGGAATTTGCAACCACTGAGAGACTTGATTATTGCTTTAGAAATATTTTCCATAAAGAGTAAGCACTGCTGAGATCTTGGTGTTGTTGAGAAGACAGGACTAGATTTCCCCTTCATGATATGGATAAAGTTGTCTTCAGTTGTTCCTTGTTTTTTAGTTTTAAGCGATTTTCCCTTGAGACCCTTTAACAAATCGGGTCTTAACAAAAAATCTTGATAATTGATAAGCACTCCATAAAGGCTTACAGATGTCCTGGCCAGTAGTTTTCCAAACACGTTCTGCCAGGCCTAGGGTCCTATGAAGCAGCATCTAAAATCCTACCATCTCCTCTGAAGATCCCCCCATCCTTTCTCTTTCTGCTTAAATGCAACCACACAGCAGCACATTTGTCTCTTGTATATAGTTGGAGACCTTGTAAGATTCTGTTGACATGGGGTTATCGAGCATAAAACACAATTTGACAAGTACTGTTAGACAGTTTCTCGAGAGCCCTCCTTTGCTTTGTTTTAACATAGCCTGGTTTCAGTACTCTAGTACGGAGTCCAGGTTCAACTCTCCAACCTCAAGACTGGCAAGAGAACCAGATTCTTTCCATTTTGAAAACCTTCTAGAGATCTTTTCTGACCTGTTTTGGAACTTGACTGTTGTCTGTTTGTTTTTCCTCCTTAAACCTCGTATGACCTGAGGATGCACTGCTGATTAGTTTTCATCACTGATTAAGCCCATTTCTTTGTTCACTTCTAATATGACATCCCACCTCTTACTTCTGACTAATGGAGCCTCAATCAATAACAGAATATTATTGTCCTAGAGGGTTTGTTCTCCCTCCTCATGAGCATATCCTCATAACAGACAGAAGGGCTCTTAGTGTCTTAATCCGAACTTGAAATTTCCTATAATTTCCTATTCATTATCTTAATCCCCATATAATTAATTTGGAACTATTATTTACATAATTGCTCTTTTATCTCAACTTATTATTTTTCACCTGGCCATACAACTTTATTGGGAAAACCTGAAGTTAGGAAGGTAGTCCTTGTGTCTTCAGTGCTTTTAATATTGCATTTCCCCAGAGGTATCTTTTCATGGGAAGGAGTCACAATTTCTTTTTTTTAATTGATCTATAGGATGAAGGAAAAATGTTGATCTTTTTCCTAAGCATATCTTTCCTAAAAATAAAATGTTCTGAGGTAGAATTATTCTAATTCAGTGAGTTCTTGACCCTAAATGTTGTAATATTACAAAGAGTCCTATACTGGGCCCTATGAGGTAGTTGTTCATTCTATTGTTCATTCATGCACCAATATTTTTTAAGAATCTGTTATCCCTGGGATGTATAAAGATATATTAAAAAGTTTATAATTTAGCTATTAAGAGAAAGCTTATATTAAAATTAAATAATAAATTAAAGTTAAATAATAAGCAAATACAAGAGCTGAGCTATCACAAAGCAGATATGATTTGAGGACAAATGGGTGTCCCCGATATTAAATACCAGAAGTTCAGAGTGGATGGGATAAAACATATATCAATGTTGTTTCAAGACCAAGCTAAGTATATCGTGTAAAAGTCAACTGTGCCCTCATAACGGCCTCATGAAGTGGTATAGCATTGTCCCCATTTTATAGATAAGGAAAGAAGAGATTAAGGAACTTGTATAGAATCACAAGTGGCATAGTCAGGATTTGAACCCAAATCCATGTTGCTCCAAATTCAGTTTCTTTTGCACTACTTTCTAGGACCCCACAGGTTGGGGTGGTCAGTGATGGCTTTATAGAGCAGGTAGGACTCAAACTGAATCTTGATACATTTGAAATGTCAAAGTAAATGGGGAGTTTATTTTGGGGAGCGAAATGAGTAAAAGAAAGGAGAAGAGCTCCAGAGATGGAGTTGCTAGGTGAAGGGCATGGGAAGCATGTCATGAAGCTCTCTAGGAATGAGGAGGAAAGTGCAAACTCTGGGAGGCATGATAGAATGCAGGGCATTTGAGAAATTTCTCTCAATTTCATGAGACTTCAGCTTAGGGTAGGAGAGGTAGTACCGTGGCCAAGGTGATACTCAGAAGATGCTAGATGAAGGGGAAAGACAAAAAAGGGTTATCATGGAAGTCTTTTCTAGTTCTATAACCACTGAAACTAACCTTCCTGTTCTTTACACCTTTCTACATCTTCTTGAGACCTGCAATTTCCTGGTACACCTGCTTTTTTGTTATGGGATAAACTTCTGGAGAATGAGAACCATGGTTGATAGTTTAATTGTGCACAGTGGTAACTGCCCGACAGAGCTTTGTAAACATTAGTGTCTTTGGGGCTCGCCTAGGTTGCACACTGATTGAAATAGAGGCCAATAATCTCATCAGTTTTTAGGAGAATTTATAAACTAAAAGCTTTAGAGCAGCTACCAACAATGTTATTTATTAGCCTTATTATTATTATTATTGAACCAATCAAAATGACTAGATTTTTCCAACTAAGTTTCAACTTAATTTTGTACTTTATAGATACAACCTGAGAAAAATAGACTTTCCTTTCTTCTTCTCATGGAAACTGATTCTAGCTTATTCCTTTCTTTTTCTCGCATCTCTTCCCTTCTTTTTCTTTCCTCCATGTAACTCTGAGTCATGTGGACTCACACTGAGGCTCAGACGGAGTTCTAGAGATAAGCTGCTTTCGAAAGCTTTCTTCAAGGGCAGGTGGCCACTCTGAATAAGCAGTTCACTTAGCACGGAATTTCCTGGTAATAGTGATAACTTGGGAATGTGATGAAGTAGATGAAAAATAGTTGCAAATTATTTGGTATGTTTCTCATTGAGAGGTGACCTAGAGAATGTGACAGAAGACAGAATCTGGGACGGACTTTTGGGATTAAAGTTGCAAGAAACATTATAGCTTGAACCCAGTCCTTTCAGAACACTCACTCTTAGAACCCAGCCATCATACTAGAAGAAAGCTCAAGCAGCCCAGAGAAGAAGCCCAAGTAGAGAGAAACCAAGTATCTTTGCTGTACTCCTAGCTGAGATGCAGCACCAGATTATAAACTGTATAAGAGAACTGTCTTGGAAGTGGATCCTCCAGCTCAGGGTCTGTCTTCTCTAACTGATATTTTATGGTGTATAAATTAGTCAACCTTGATGAACCCTGTCCAAATTACAGATTCTTGAGCTAACAAATGATTGTTATTTTAAGTGTGGTGTTGGTTTCTTAAGCAGCAATAAATAAGTGAACTCATGGATATTCTATTCCTTTAAAATGTCTATAAAAGTCATTCTGCAACCTCATCATACCCATTTTCAGTGC